TCCAGCCAGAAGTTATAAAACATATCTGGTTGTTTATTGAGAAAAATAAAACTACATAAAACACAAGTTTCATGCAAAATATATAAAAATCACTTCTTCTGTTTTATGTGACATCCAAGACTTAAAAAAATTTATCCAATACACAAGTTCAACTCCAAAGTCTTTAGCCAAAAACTCTCAGAGAAGAGGTACACTACTTAGTTATTAGTTACAACTACATAACCTGTAAAATGATTACATGATGACTAAAACCTACTAGTACTGAAGCATACAATCACCCACAAATTATTGAAACTATGCACCTCCCCTTAGGTAACTAGCATGAAGACGCCAATAGGTGGTAGTAAATAGCAGTATACGTGCAAACTAGAAGGCCAATACAGGTGGCGTGATTTCTGTAGCCATAACCATTTGTTTGAAGATAAGCGATTTGCTCTTCTTCCCATGAGAACATCCTAACATACAAATGTGAAATCATTTGTTATCCATGCAACATGTTTTCTGCTACTGAACTACAGCCTGACTTTCAATATAAGAAACCATCAAATAGTTTCCTATATCCTGAACATTTCCTTTGAAACAACAGCCTAGATGGTAGAACCCACAACTTCCTTAGGGGCTTGCATTATTGTTATATATCAGTCAAATGCACTGCAATATCACCCTGTTGGATCATGACAGCCAAGTAATCACAGTTAGTTAGTTTTCTCTAACTAGCAAGAGTCTTCCACACCAGAACTGGGGAAAAAGAAAAAAAAAGTTGTAGCAAAATAAACTAATGGAAATGCATGGAAAATATGTGCTTGGAAGTTTCTGATTTAAATCTCATATCAGTCATGAATTAACTGTGGTTTCAGTAATGTGCTATTTCTCGGGTTTAGGGTTTCCCTTCCCACAAAAGGGGTAATAATCCTGGCTTAATGTACAGGGGTTTTGTAATGATTACTCAGACAATCTACTTGTTGGCAGACCTTAAATTCCTCAAGTATAAACGGTTTGTCATCTCAAGCATTTGCTCTGAGGTCTGTAAAAAACTTGGGGCTTTCCACGTAATACAAAATGAGCATGTAAATTCCCTCCCTGATCAACTGTTTGTAGAACACAGGCATGGATACTATCAGGGCTAAGCATGAGTAAGGTGTGAGGTATGAGAGTCAATTAATTGCAGTTCTTCTGCAAGGCACGGGGGTTGTTGAAACTGCTCTGGGTGAGACTGAGAAGGTTTTGCATTCACAGTAGGGAGGTAAAATCATTTTAGATCTAGATTTGATGGTTTTACTGATTTCATCCCTCCTGAAATGATAATCCATATTAGTCTACATATTTCTGATTGTGTTAAACCAGTGTTCCTGCATTTGTAGCATGCCTCTTAACTGTACTGTATGGTGCCCAAATGCCTACCTTGGAGTCCTGCCATGATAGCACTACTCTGTTCCTGCTAGATGTTATGTAATTATTGGAGCAAAGTAGACTCTGCAACAATTAATTGAACTGTAAATGGGTATCCAGAAAACAGCCACGAGTATCTGTTCTCTAGCTGGAGAATTAAAGGGAGTTGTTCATTCCTAGTTCTATGTTTATTCTTCGGTTTCTCCAATTAAGGCAAATTAAATTGAGGTATCAGGCTAGGGAAAGTTGAGGTGGATTGCATTGGAGTGGATAATTGATTTGACTAATGTTGGACTCTGTAATTCAAGAATATATATCAGTTCCCCACCAGTCGTTGCACTGGAAACAGAATTTGCTATTCAACAGCTTCTGCTTTGTTATAAAATATATACAGTATATATAACCTTTGAACATTGTACAAAGTCTTTATCTCACAACTAACATGTCAACACATCAGATACCCCAGTAAAGCACGGTGAAACATCATATAAAGATTTGGTCACTGTGTAAATATCTTACCTCAGTTCCCTCAAAACAGTTTCTGATGAGTAGTGAATTTTGTTGTGGGAAGAATGAAAATAAGAAGTAGATAATGAGTGATATTGTTCCATCTCTGGAAGTTTTAGTTCTGTTAGGGCTAGACAGAGCTGGGAATATTAATTTTCAGGATTCAGTATACTCCCCAAAAACAGTAATGCTTAAATGAGGGCAAACTCTGGATTACCTATTTCTGTGACTGATCCTTTTTTACTATCAGCTTGGTAATACTTTCTCACCTTCCTGCACACCTGATCCCTTTTCTTTAGAGTATAGCTACTTTGAAAACTCATAAAATATAGACTGAGGGTCATGGCATGATTTGTTGATTTGGTTTAAGAAATACATAACAGTTATCTATTAACATGGAGACATCTTAAGGTGAGGAATTAACCAAGAGCTGATTATTTCTGGTATATGAAGGTTTCATTTTATTTATTTTTAAGTCCATTCCACCCTATTTTCATATCAATTGGAGTAAACGTGTTATTTATTTATTTAAACCATTTGCATGGCCGCCCGTCTTGCTGTAATGACTCTAGGCAGTTAACAGTCAATAAAACCCAAAACTCCAAACTGATTTACAACAATGGTCAATGTACAATGAACCAGAAGTCCAAATAAATCACTTCCATCTTACGGATCAGTAACAGACTGACGACCACAGGCAGCTAATCAAGACTCACCCAATAAGTCCCTGCGCCCCTCCAATCCCAATGCATGAGGGAAAAGCTAGCTTTTTAACACCTTACAGAAGGCACACAGGGTCAGGACCATGTGGATTTTTGCGGGGCAGAGGGGCAGGAGACCTTGCTCCAGAAGACAGGCACTGTGACAGAGAGGGCACTGCTTAATAGAAGGGACCTGGAGAACGCTCATCCTGTTGGATCTGGTGGGGTGAGCAGAAACAATTGGAGACAGGCAGCCCTGCGCTGTGTAGGGCATTGTAGCTGCTAACCAGCACCTTGAATTGTACCCAGAAGGCCAATGGGACCCAGTGTAGCTTGCCAAGGAGTAATGTTACATGAATGTATCACAACATGCTCAACACTGCCTGCATTGCCACATTCTGGACCAGTTACACTGATTAATTTTCCAATGCAGTTTACCAATT